ATAATTGATAAATGGTAAGGACATATTAGTTTAAAATAATCATATAAGTTATCGTGGGAAATATCTAATATACATATTTGTTAGCTTGTTGCGTTCTTTTAAGCTCATAAATATTAAGAATTCTTAGGTACTTGAGTTAAGAATATAACATGTAGCTGTTAGTGTGTTCTTCTATGTATATTAATGGAACAAACTTGTACAAATGAAAAATCTGACATAGATTTCATAGTTAGCGTGTTTGGAAATATTAGAAATACAAACAAGATATTTGATAAAACCTAAATACAAACAAGTAATAATAGCATTAAACTCCCAAATAGACACCTGCTCAACTTTTATAATATCTCACGATATTAAGACATACCTGAATAATAAATAATATTAATACGTTTTTTCAGCTGTCGCCAACCAGATTTACTCTATATCAGAAAAGTAAACAGTTCATATTAATTTTCTATATCAATAATGTCCTATAGATCTGTCCTGAATAGATCTATTCAATATGTATCAATTATGAGAACTAGTTGTCGTAAAACGTCATTCATTTTACTCCATTAGGATTTCAGGATCAGTATAATATAATAAGTTAATAGATATGATTAAATTGGATACTTATCTCTAAGTCCCTGTTCATATTGGATATATTTCCCCTCGAATGGCGTGAGTGGTGATTTAATTACATAAATATGTGTGCCCTTTTCACCTTCGGAACCGTTCAGGCTTATGGGAAAACATTGGTGGTCTGTAGGAAAGGGAGCGAGCAATGATCGTTATCATAAAAAAAATGCTTTGAATAAAATGTACAAAATATAACAAAATAACTTTAAGTGGTCATGCCAATATTTAAAATTTAAGAATTCAAGGTTATTTCATTTACAAACTGGAATGGATGTTTTCATACCGTAAAAATACTCCACAAATTTACCACAGATGGTGGTTATATAGAAAAAGTAATCAAAACTATCAAACTTGATATTGAAACAACCTGTACAAGGCTTTAATTCGTTCTGGCATGTGAGAGAATTTTACACCGATATGATGATCTAATATATAACAACAGATGCTAGATTCAATATAAAAACCATTATACGCTGTCTTAAACGTGTACATGCTGACTATTATATATACTCGCCGGATAATACCCAATATGGTTGACGAAGACTGATAGGTTTTCGATAAAGATCAAACCGCATTGTAGCCTGTACTCGGAAATTGATTTTTTCCTATATAATAATGTGACCGAGAGATGTCGGAGTTTAACAGGTACGATGCATTTAACATCTAATGTCAAAGCACCTGTAACAATGAAAGTGAGCATCTGAAGCTTCAAACAAATATTAGATCTTGTGTTGCCTAATCGCTCGGAAAATCCTTTCTAAATGGTCACTGAATAGATCGCCTATCTCGCTCAAATAGGTGGGCCTTGTATTCGTGGGGAAAGAAAGTGAGGCCACCGCCCTTGATCTCGATGGAACAGGATAGGGGAGGAACAATATGGTCCCCTACTGTCTAATGTATATCGGGGGTTGGGAACCTCTTTATGCTGATGACTTTGCCTTGATTGTGACGTATTTCAATCTCATCGATAACAAAAAAAGATATATAAAGTCATCTTGGAATGGTTTAAAACCTATTTTAATTACATTTAAAAGTTTGTGACTGTTAAACGTATTTGTTTTGTTAGCTAAAGCAAATATAATCGTACATTTAATTGGTAAAATGATATCTTTAACGAGATTTAGTTTTAAATACTTGGCGACGCTGATTGTCGTGTGTCTGTCTGCAGCAGTGTGTTGTAACACACACAAAAAAGATTAACAAAAAGTACATTAAATGGCAGGCAAGCGTACACATGTACACAAAACAAGGTTAGTCTAAGATTAGCAATGCTGCAGTTCAACTTGAAGGCTTTGCACAAACATTGCTGAAATGTTGTCTTAACATATCTTAGGAAATAATAATTAAAAAATATTAAATCAACATCTATCACTGCATATTTGTTGTAAATTTATTAATTAAAGAAGTCAAATAAGTTAATATTTAAAATAATAATTTTTACTCAATCACTTTGATAGACATTCACTTTTTCATGAACAACTTCTTAATGGATATTCGTAATGAGCTTTATTCACCGTCATTCGACTAGATATTGTGGTGCGTTGATTTAAAACTTGTAGGAATGATATAGCTTTATGAAAATAAGAGTCCTGGTCTTGCTGTTTCAAATTAGGACTTACGTTATTCATAAATATAGACCATTGTTAATATACCTTTTGCTAGTTAGTGACACCGCGAGACGGAATGTTGGCTTCGTTCAAATCGCCGAAAAACAGCTTCAATTGCACGAAATATTGCAATTAACTCGATATCATAGGAATACTGGCAAGTGCAATCTGATGAAATTTCTGACCTCGGGTTCGACTCGCTGTTTGATTGAATATGTAATTACCGGTAATACACTCGGAATGCAAAATACATATTGATAAAGTCTCGATTCGTTATAAACGTATTCACCGGGCAATTATCGTAATTATCCCGAGCGTAAATGGTGAATCATAAATGAAAACATCCCGAGTATTTACGTTTGTCCATACCAACCCTAGTAGAAAAGCAAATTGGAGAAACACGACACCAACATAACTATCTTGTCTCATCACAAAATACCTGTTCATGCGAAATGGGGGTCATAGGGTCTTCCGTTATATATACTGTATCATAGGTACAATAAAGGGCTGAGGATTCCTATAATACAGATACTACAATGCTTAACTTAGAACGTGAGATGGGCCCAGCATATCTACATAACTCATTTGTATACGGTTATACTTATCTCTGCTAAAAGGATATATTGTTGAGTAATTTTAATTTACAGCCGCTGTGATCTCTCTGATAGACTAAATAACCAATAGAAATGCAAAATAAGGAAGCATATATTTTAGTCGATACAGAAATCCAACTAGAGCAAATATTTGTACTGCACCATATGGCCATCCCATTCACGTAGGACTTGAAAATTGAATACTGTATAATTATCTACAATTGCAAAATAAACTTATGTATTTTTATGAAATTATAGGATATACAGTGTCAAAAGTTATTCACAATTTATTTGCTCTGTTGGGTTGTTTTGATTTCATAAGAGGGAGAAATGCAAAACAGTTTAAAATTATATAAATAGTAGAAACTAATTAAACATCACACACAGTCCGAGTTTTTGAGTCATACAAAGACCGGGTGAGGTAGTTAGGTATTATTACACATGTATGTGAAGCACGGTTGTTAACTATGGTTGTTAACTATGTATGTTTACTATGGGTAGTTTACTAAGTATGGTAGCCGGGGCTTCAACATCCACATCAGAGAACGTGTCTGTAGGTCGCGCCAGACCTCCTCAGTGAAAATAAACACAAACAATACTATCAAAGACAATTGGCATACTGAAGGGTGTTCAAATAAAGTCCGAACAACATATGGTAATGGCTATATGAACTAGGGAAGTCCACAGGAGGTATCAGACCGGACATTTTAACTCGAGGTATCTTGACGAGTGCCACTCGAGTCGTTATCTTCTCTGCATGTAAATATGGAATCAAACGGTAAAGTGTTTTTGTCACCTAGCTGTGCATTTAGTGAGAATTGTATATTTAGGTGATAAATCATAGCTTAAGCGTTACATAATATCGTATCCTAACATTACAGGTATTTCAATGTTTCGAGTCAGCTTAGCCTGATAACTAGACAACACAGCGTTCTATCATTGATAACGCAATTAGTACGGAAACGTCAAATGGAAACTATCGTCTTTGGAACTGTTGATAACTAGAACGAGCAAGGTTGAATAGACGCGATCTAAACGGAATAAAGGCGTAAATCATTATGCTTAATGAAAACTTATGTAAATACGACAGAAAAAATATTAAAATATGGATAAAAAGAATCAATCCTTCTTGACAGTTTCTAATATTAATATTTAGCCAAGACATTACCAGGTATTGTGATGCTTATGACCTAACTTTGCTTTGGACATCTGTCACAAATTCAAACAACAGATTCTGTTTTTGTATACAGCGATAACGAGTTATGAGAGAACGAAACCCTTGATGGCGTAGCATATCCAAGTATCTGTAGTTAAATCTGAGATACCAATCTCGTTTCAAAGCCACGTGACTCATTGTCTCCAAAATTGAAAATTGTGTATCAGTGGTGCCTTTCTACATCAGCATGTAGTAACACATGCTAATAAAATAAATCACTATTTTGGAACACGCCCACAAAGATTGGTGAGAAGCACAAATAAAATGTGTTTCACAAAAGTATGCTTATCATAATAATGTTATGACACAGCATACATTTGCATATCAGGTATCATTGTCTCTAGCGTATAAAGTACGTGTAATATATAAATATTAAATAAATGATATCCTGTCAATTTTGATGAAATGTTTGGCTCAATAAAATCAAAACTGATTGATGAATTTCTTTGGAATATTTAATTTAATTTTAAAGTGACTTTAAATGTAATCAATAAATCACTCGTTTGATTAAATGTAGGAAAACACCATTTACACAGATGAGATTGTTTTTTAAAAATTATAATAAGCTTAAAATACAAATAAGACGTAATAGTCATTGCACCATCATGTTTTCATTATCACTGTATTTTGTTATTGTGTATCGTGTTATTGATAATTTTGATTGATAGTAGATTAAGAATTGTGTCATCATAGTTCGGTAATCGCCATTCTTTTACTAGTTGAAGTTAATTTTTCTTCCCCTTCCTCGACAGTTTCGTATAATACAATGTATATTTCGACAATGTTTTGTAATACAATGTCCTTTTTCGACAGTGTTTTATTGTACAATGTCTATTTCGAAAATGTCGTAAATTACAATGTCTATTTCGACATCTTAAAATACGATTCTTATGTCGACAATATTTTTAATACAATACCTATTTTGAAGTTGTTGTTTGATACAATATGGCTAATTTTGTTTTACAGGTGTCGTTGAAGAATCCAGACCGCGGTCACGAGAGCGATAGTGGACAGGGAAGTCTGGACAGCGGCGACAGGCGGCATCACCAGCTCACAAGCCTCCAGCTCCATCACGCTCTGCTGACCTCGCCCAGCGGCTCTAAGAACCGGTCAACCGTATCACACATGGTACGTAAGCTTATCAACATCTGTCACACACATACGGGTATACACTGGCAGGAGAAAAGAAACGTCAGCTTACCAAATTCATTTTAACAATTAAACCCGCACTCATTTTGTGAAAAGCATTTTTACTTTTTATTTAGATTTGGAATTTCTGAAATGCTTTTTTTAACGTATAATCACATTTATTATTATTTGATTAACAGTGAACACAGTTACAGACGATTTTTCATTTTCCATTTAGGTTATAAAGCTGACCCCACCTTTTTAGAACATCTGATGAAACAATATTTCAGAAATAGTCCGTTAAATTTCTCTCCTTCATTGTAGAACATATTAGTATCATTGTACTGTTTAGCTCCAATTGTTAAGGGTTCATCTAAGGCAGTCACGCGCTGTCGTGTTTTCATGACATTGTGGATATTATTAATCCTTCAAATGATTCGCTCTTTGTGATTTTTTTATTTTACTAATAGCAAAAATGTTTCTATTTGGTTGACCAAATTCAATAAAATTTATGCATTTGGACACATATTAACCTTCATTTGTCTGAAAGCCTCTAATTACATTGATAATAATTGAAGTTTTAGAATTTCTAATAAAACATATTGGAGAGGAATGTCATCAAGTTCAGTTTCACAGAATTACTTCAAACGTGATTATATTTCCATAATAAATATTGACCTTGCTTTTGTCCTCCAGTCACCTCCCTTGTCAGGACTCATTACTCACCAGGAGGCGGATAACCATAGCGACCTGTCGGGCGAGGCAAACACAAGCGACAGTGGGCGTGGCGGTAGTGATGATGACCTCAATACCAGCTGCATCCTATCATATTCGGGAGACTTCGGTAAGTTTCGGAAAAAGAAATCTGAAAATAAGAATAAACTCTTTTTTTTCTTTCTTACTATTTCTAAGTATTGGTTTATTAGCTAGGTACTTAGGGTTTCGAAATTTGTACATTTCTAAATGTAACTGAATACAATGACACCTCCGTATTTATACCTTGAAGTGATACGGAAATTGTTGTTTCAATTATGCAAATGATATGTCGTTTTCGAAGATAAGTTTGTAATATGAATTAAGATAAAATGATAAAGTAAATCATTTTACATAAGATTGTTCATAAATGAATGCTTGATAAGATCAGTAATGATAGAAAATTGGAATAATTTACATAATTTATTAAATAAAAGAAAAAATATCATCGTGTATGTAGAAGTTTGAATTTCACAATATAACAAAAACTTCAAATTGATGGGCGAATATTTTCTCATATTTCAAATGAGATATGAAGATCAGAAAATGAATATTTCATAAATATTGCGCGACGGTATATTAAAAAAAAAACATTTCATGAGGCAAAGGTTCGGCGTTATTTCTTACACGAAATTGTCGCTGAGTGACAGTGTTTCTGGAATTTTGACATGTTCTGCGTGAAGTGTCGATGATTGATGGATGGATGAGGGTGAGAGAGTTTGTCGACCAGGTACATACATATGTAGATGCTTCCGTCTTCTTCCATAACAAACCATCACTGATTCATATAATCCTGAGGCGCCCGCAAAGTTTGCAGATCTTGTCATGTTTAGTCACCTAGACAATATTTAATATTAATTTTATAATCTGTAAAATTATGGTTCAATACACAAGAAAATAAATCGTATGCTTAAATTTATAGTCAAACAAAACTAATGATAAAAAAAAAATTACAACTTCGTTTTGTGAGTTTCTTTCCAAAGAAAACATTATTTTAGTATTTTTGGTTAAGTTAAGTTAAGCTGACAAATATTTCAATATTTGGGCCCCGATACACATTGAACGTGTCTTTATATTATATGTACATAAGTTTATACACTAACGGTTAAAAGTTTGACGAGCGACATGACAAGACGATGAGATCAAATAGTTAGGCTGTATGTAGAGTTTTACCTGGAACGACACTCTACAAGGGAGTGATTTGTGTTATTAACAGACACTTAGAGAGCAGCAGATGAGAGCTGTCACATTAACGAAACTTAATGTTTAATGTTCTTAATGTATCAAAGCGAAGTACATAAAATACAAGAAATAAAATCATCTTCGAAATATACGCATCACCGATCAAAAGAATTGTAAAGGGAATTTAAAATAATAAATTAGTATATATTGACTCAGGTGAACTAAATTTGATATAATTCGTGTTTGTACAAGTGTCAGTTTCAAACCATCAAATGACTCAATAAAACCTTTAAGCCTTTTAAAGATAAATATCTTATTTTCTACACATTCTTTGACTTAACATTTACAGTACACGTACATGCAAAAACATAGCGGTACAATATGGGTTGTAAGTGTTTCCAATTGATTACTGTTGTCGTATCAAATCAAATGATGTTAGTGACCGTATTTAATAATGTTATTCTTTCTTTTCATTACAGATCACTTGGCGCATAGTCCCCGAGGGAAACACACGCCTAGAGGCAGTTCAAAAAGCGCAGGCAAGCGTGAGGAACTATTTCCGCTTCCGGAACATGATTATGGACAATTAAATCATATGAAGCCAACTTTAGCTCCACTATCGTTTGGAGATAGATTTTTTAATTACGAAAGCAATCAGGGTGGACTTTCTCCCGTTAAATTTGGAGGTGTGTCCCCAACCGGAAATTCGTTTATACTTAGTGGAAACGACGACAGTACAACGACTTCCGGAAGTTACGTATTGGATCACGAGGACGATTATGTTGACGTCGTGAGACCTAGTAGACAATGCATTGTATAACATCCGGTCTGAGGGCCAGAACTGGTAAGAGAAATAACTCTTTGGTGTGATGTCATTTTGACCCAAAAAATGGCATGCAATAGCATTTCATTTGTCGAAAACCAATGGAAAAATCGTGAATAACATGACGTCATTGATCGAATCTGCAAACAGACTGAACTAAATGTATTGTCTAAATATATAAAACCCAAGCATATTCCTTGCATTTTCCAACAGATTTAAATGTAGTTTTTTTTTATTAAAGGTTTATATCAAAACTGAATTAGATTTAATCTATTTGATAATTATGTTTAATGAAAATAAAAACTAATAAATGCCTCTTACCTTCTAGGAGGGTTTCGGATATGTTTCCAGTCCCCGAAAAAATGACGTCCCTTCATGTCTTTAGATTGCCGTCCGAACCACGCCTGCCAAACTGACAAACCGTCACTATCTATCCTAACGCCAAGTCTACCGAGTCAACTGCACAGTCCCTTTCACACAGGTATATATGTTACTCAGTCTTTAATAAAAAAAAATCCCTAATTCAAGTAATCGAATGTTTCACGTGGATGTAAAAATTTCCGAAGGTCGATTAACGTTTATCGAACAATGATATCAAAAGTAAATGTATGATCACTATACGAATGCAATTTCACCTTATAACTAATAATGACATGCGAGATGCAATAAACCTCTGTACATAACCAGAATTAAGTTCAAACATCGCCTTGATACAAAATACTGTGGAAGGTAGCGATCACGTTGTTTTACCTCAGTGCCACTGATAAGTTCTAAATAGACGAAATGGCCATTGCTATGGTGTAGTAAACATTTACTTTGTTTGCCTTTTATGCAAATACATTTTTAATAGGTGATTAATTTCTAATTTTTTCTATTATTTGTTTATATATGAACGAAACTAATCTATTTTTCGGTGAAAGGATTTTTAATTGTGCGTAAAAGTGATGTTTAGCTACGCTTCATATGAAGTTTCATGTATTGTTTTTTTGGATCTTTTCAGAACAAAAAGAAAATCAAGAAATGAGGGAATTGATACTCATGTAACGTTTGTGATATATGCATTGCTTCACTTTACCATGGAAATCATGCATGTGTGTTTAAGGAACACTTCTACAGGAGAATGTAACGCTCGGCCTTGGCACAGGAATGACGTCTGTCAATTTCCTAATAGATGAAAATCCTGATTGATTTTGTTCATGGTGCTTCCAAATTACAAGGAACAGAAAACTGACTGTTACAATGTATAATATCAACACGATGGGACATCTTTCATTATCTTATTGGTGCTTACAATTGTCGACGTCTTCGTATGGAAGGTGCAGTCCCGATGTTTTAAAGCAGTATTCAATGTGTTCAAGTCTACAAGTGATACACATTCACGCAATTTGTGCCAAATATTGTTTATGAGTGCTGTATTAGTTATTGATATCTCGCTCATAACTGATCTCGTTTTCGTCGGGTTGTACTAGATTCAGGGGGATGTGTGTTAATTTTTATACCAGTCATATCAATCTATATGATATTAAGGATGTTTTCTTGATTTGAATTTGTTTTTAGTTCATCTACAAATGTATGTGATCATTTTGAACCCCATTCCGATCACACATGCTTTTAAAAATTAGGATAAATCAAAATATAAACAACTTATCACAGCATCAATACATAAGGGCGAACATTCAAACGATCATCATGAAACCCCCTCCAAATATGTTTTACATGTTTGTCTTACTAAACAAAGGGACACATGAGTTATACTATTCCGTTTCGTTTTTAAACATACGAGATCAGAATGAGCGTGTACTGTCAGTAGATGATGACGTTTATTTGTCTAAATATGAATGAAAGCCACATTCACTTTTCGATCATTGACTATCTAAACAAAATGGATAATCCCCGTGTTTGCTGGGAGTCGCGGACCGTGGTAACTGGTGTCACATCGTTCATGGTTTCTGTTCTGTTGTTGAAATTTCCCCTCAATTGCTGTTTTAAGTCCGTGTCGGGTTTTGAATTATCCTTTTTGTGTTGACGCAGTGATCTAAGTTTATATTTCTTTTGAAATTTAAAATCGTTATATTCCAGGAAAAGAAGTCCGATTGATGTAATTTTGTTTCTGTAAAAGTACATATTTCAACGCTAATGTTATTTTTGCGCTTTTGGCGACAGCGCTTAATCGAAGTTTCTGCATATAGTTATTTATGCATACATTTTGATTGCGCCAATTCATGTTAGACTTATCTGTTAAAATTCGATCATGCGCTAATATTTGAATACTCTAAAAATAACTATGTTTACAGTAATAAGCGGACCATTAAGCTTATCGAGTTTGATATAAGTGACCTAGATACATTAAAGTGTCATGGTCTACTACAAGTTAATTGATTAGAAATAACTCGGTGAAACTCGGCTGATCCTGCTTTTATCCAGAACAGTCGTTTTCCGGATTTGTCATTAATTAGTTATTACTTAATATTATTGTTGATGAATCTGATATTCATTTTCTTAACAAACCAAAATGTCCGTACTCCTGACGCTTCCCTGTATTTCGACTCAATATGTGTGTGTTTGTGTGAAAGATGTTATATTGTGTGAGAAAGTAATTTCTATTTTTCTGAATGAAATTTATCAACAAATTATTAATCTCTTATAAGAGTTGTTATATTTGAAAAATAAATGAAATGTTATAAAATATATTCTCGTAGCATTTGTTGTACTTTGAAACTTCAGCTGGTTTTGTTAGGCGAAACCCATTTACACGCTTATCTTTGAATTTTACAATTCAATTTCATTACGATCATCTCTGCAGTGACTCAGTAGCCTTAGGGATGTACTATTTACGTATGACACATTTCCGTTTACTTGACAATTCTTAAATAGTATACGCTCTGAAATTTTGAATGGAATACATTGGGTCATATTATTTCAGAAAGAATACGCATGAAATTCATGAATATGTATGTCACAAAATACAGTTTCACGTACCTTGATCACATAACATTAGAAATAACTTTAGGATTTTCAACAAGCTTCAACCTTACCATAATCAAATAATTTAATCTTGCTTGTAACAAGCATTTCCATTGGCTTAAAAAAGTATGTTATCATCCCATAACGTAAAGAAATGACGTCGCCATTTGTAACGTCGCTTGTGATTAGTTGATACAGCGGCACAATAATTTCTAAGAGAAAAGAGTCCATCAATAAAAGCAGATTTCCATAGGGATTGGTTATAGTAGTCATAAACTAAGCCTGCAATCATAATTGATTATAATTATTGGAAGCATATGTATTTCACAGGTGCAGTTTCATGTACCTTGATCACATATATAAGAAATTATCTCAATGATTTCAACAAGCCTCAACGTTGAAGTAATCAATTAAAAATACGACTGAAATTCATAATTGATTTGCTATTATTTAAGGAATGATTTTTATTTTTTCAACATTTATGAGGTCATAACAACAATGGGTTTATGGACATATTGAATGAATCGCGTTAGCGATTCATGTAAAATATGTCCAAAAACCCATTGTTGTTATGACCTCATAAATGTTGAAAAAATAAATATCATTCCTTATATTTACATTGACGAATCCTTTCAGTGGATCGATATAACAACGAATAAAACAAATAAACAGGGTTTGTTCCTGCTTATACACGGGTGCAACGCAGTGGCGAGAACAGTGTTTTTTCGCGGGGAAATGTGACACTATCGTGAGAGATCTTAGCAACCGTCAACAACAATAACACAACAAAATGTAGTTCCATATTCAATGTTTATTTGTAGCACAGGACACGTGAATACGTGGATATTTCACAAAGCACAGTTCAATAATATTTTAAGATGTAAGAATTAAGCATCTAGGTCGGTCGTTCCGAGTGAGTAGTTTTTGTAGTGTATTACTACGCAGTGTGATCAGGTTACTATCAGTTCCCACGTGCTGAGATTCTATGAACACCTGTGTTATGCATTTATGAATGTAATTTTTGTCAATGGGTCTAAGCATACAGAATGTAAATATAAACATATGAATTTCACAAGAACAGTTTCTTGTACATCAAAGATATATACGAAATACCATTTTAAAGAATTTTAACAAGCTTCAACCGTACAGTAATCCAATACAACTGTTTGATCGTTTAATAAGATAATAGAAAGAATTGTTAAGTACTATTAAACATAATGTATCTGACAGGATATTTTACATTAACTGTAAGTAATAATCTCTCGCAAAACTGTAAACATATGTTATAACTATTATACACGTTTCCAGTTATCATTGTCATCTTTAGTAAACTTTTTTTCCACTATGGAGGTGATAAGAAATTACAAATCGTTATGCTAATTTATGAATCATCTCTGTTTATGACGCATGCTTAAGAAAATTTAGATGTTTTAGAAAAAAACGTTTCAATTTAAAATTCAATTAAAATTTAATGATGCCGATATCAGCAAGCAAATACTATGATCATGTTTCCATGACAATACATGCCGTCACGTGATCTAGAAATGTGTGTACAAAAATATGTCCGCTACCATTTAGGGTAATGGTAAATATCTATATCGGTATCAATCGGTTTAACTTAAAACATATTGTAGCGATTACATATATTATATCCTCTTTTAGAAATAAAAGAGGCTCAGTATCTAAGCTGGTCTTTATTCTATACAAAAATGAATTGAATTTAAAAACAGGAAATTGTGTGATTACATTTGCGATCTTAAACTGCCATAATTAAACACGTGTTAAATCCTCATGAAATAACCAATGGGCAACAATTCATGCTTGGCCTTGCCTAGTAATGCTAGTGTATTTCGATACTGAATATACAGACTCCTTGATTTGCATTAAGGTAAATAACGGGTCCTGAAGTGTTGGTACGGGTGTTTTGTACTTAACTGTTTATGTAAATTCCGGACACGTGTCCACATACACACTAACAGAGAGACAAGATAAAACAGACCGCTATCTGTTTCGTATATATAGTCATCGTATTATAGTAAACAATTACAAAGAAGCTTTAAAAATCCATAAACCCGAATCTCCATTATAGTACTACATTCGTCTCTTTGTACAAAGAAATGAAACCAGGTATATCTGAAGGCTAGGGACTTAGCACATATAAGTATACTCGAATACATATAAAAAATGGGTTTCAGAAAATTTATCAAAAATTGCCGCGTTACAGAAAGTAAATTATAATTAGATAACACAAATAATGTACACAAGGACAAAATTGAAACTGTATCTGGAAGCCGTAAATAATATAAAACAAAATGTTGAAAACTAAACAAACGGAACAACAGGATGAAGCCTCATAATAATCAAAGAAGTTCTAGGCGCTCCGCAAGGATAGCGTTTCCTGCACGACAAACTAAAACAATATTCGATTCCTGTATCGTAAAGCTTATTTAGGGTGAGGGATATATCTCCATATTGGTTATGAGATGACCGAGAAATCATGTACAATCAACACTTATC